GGATCTTTGTTTATCTATTGTACTCTTTTTACCATCATTATATTTTTATTATCACATTTTATTCTATATTTGACTTACTATTTAATTATTTATTTCTTCAGATATTTATCTTTCTTTTATATTTTTATTGTTTTCCTTTTCTTTCTCCTTTATTATTTTATTGGGTAATGTCCTTCTTTATAACAACTTCATTTATTTTGATTTTTATTTTAATTACTCATATTTATTTTGAATCTCATATTTTATCTCTCTTTTCTTTATATTTAATATACATTTTTCATCATTATTTACTTACATAAAATTTTATCTATTTCAGTTTAATTATCATTCGTTATTATTTCTTTTCTATTCTTTTCATTTGAAACATATTAATTTCTTTTTTAACACTCATAAGAACAAGTTAAAGAGTATTTCATTTTTTTTTTTGAAATTCTTTATTTTTATCTATTCTTTTCTTCTTTGTTATAATTGCATTGATTCTTGTATTAAACAAAATATATTGATTAGAATTGTTCACCAATTATTCGTCATTTATTGTAATATTACATTTTCTAATTATAATATGTGAACTATCTTATTTAAACTCAATTAAACACTATTTCTATATTGGTACTCTTTTCATTGTATTTCTTCTTTTCTTATTTTTATTCTCTTATTCTTCTTTTCTCATTCTTCAAAATGTTTTCATTATACTTCTCCATATAACTATCTAAGAAAAAGGAATATCGAAGGTATAGCTATGATGACCATAGAGAGAGGAGAAGAGCAACTTATCAATGAAGACAGAATTTATAACATTGAGAAAAAGAAGTGGAAACAGAGTTGTGAAAGAGGAAGAGAATATGGAAGAGACAATCTAAATTAAAGGAATTTAGGAAGAATTATAAAAGGAAGAATCAAAAAGAATGGAATAAATTTAAATCCAAAGAGGAACCTCAACATGAATTAGAAGTAAATATTCAGGAATAATTAACAGAATAGAAAGATATAACGAACAGATGGAAGACAGAGGAGAAGGAATAAAACAAATAACATATCTGCAAATCATCCCAATATATGATAAAAGAAGAAGTTGAAAAAGAAGAGAAACAATGAATTATATGAACAAATTAAAGAACTAATAATGAGATATTCTGAAATGAATAAACTAATGAAAACAGAAATCCATTTAGAGAAAGGATAAAAGATTGAGATGAAAGAAAAGAAATAGAAGAAATAAAGAATGAAACGATAGTTAAATTAACATATTAAATGGGTGAAATGAAAGATAACTAAAGAATGGAAAAGAAATTAAAAAGAAATAAAACAGAGAGAGATTAGGAAATTAAAAGAATAAATGAAGAGATGAAGAATTAATATTAAAGAAAATAAGATTAAAAAGAAAAATAAAGAAATCAATAGGAATATATAAAAACATAAAATAAATATCAAGAAGAAAATAATACAATAAGAAAAAAGAAGTTTAGAAAAACACAAGAAGATGAAGTAATACAAGAATTGTGTAATGTAACTGGTTTAATAAATAAATGGGATTGAAAATAACTAATAAGAATAAAATGGCAGAAATTCAAAGAGAAAAATACAAAAACTTCAAAATTCAATAAAAATTAAGAAACAACCACGGAACAAACAGGACAATAATAGAAAAAATCAAATAACGAAAGAGATATAGAAAATAACAAAGAAAGCATCACCAATCTGAAACTGAAAAAAAATTCCATAATAGAAGAGAATAAATATGTCATGGGAAACTACAGATTCAAAATATTAGAAATCATAGAAAGATGAGGAAAATGAAATAAGAACATAGTTAATGAATGAGAATAATCAGAAAATAAAGAGAAGAGTTGAATAGAATAAATAAAATATCATTAAGAAGAAAATTAAAAGAGAGTGAAGAAATAATAAAAGGGCAGAAATTTAATGAGTAAGTAAAAAACAAGGAAAAAAGAAGGAATAACAGATAAAATAAAAGAAGTTATTAAATAAGAAACGATGAAGATGGCTAAAAAATGAAAAGAAAAAAGAGGATATAAGAAAGTATAAGAAGAAATAAACATTAAATATGCAAATAAATAATAAAGGAAGAAGAGATTGATATTAGAGAAGGGAATTATATTGAATATTAATTCAATTCAATAATGTTTGATGAAAAATATTGTGTATAATAATGAGAAATGAAAAAGAAATAATAAGAGAGAAATACAAGAAGATATTTATCAAATGCCATACATAATTAAGAAATACTAGAAAAAAAATTATACAAATAAAAGAATAAGGAGAAATGGTTCACTGAAGATCATAACCCAAATGACATATCCATTAAAGAATATTACCAAATTGCAGAAGAATAATGAGAAAAAATATAAGTGTAAAAGAAAAATTCAGAAACAATGGCAAACGAAGAAAACAAAGATTAAAACATCTAAAAGAAATAATGAAAAAGAAAAAGAATTTATAAAAATAACATTTGAGATTGTTAAATAGGAGAAAATCGAAGATGATAATTTGAAGAAGAAAGAAGAAAAACAAATGAAATTTATAAATGAATTTATAATAAAAAGAAGAAAGAAATCATAGAAGATAACAAAAAAAGAATTAGAAGAGAATTAAAATGATAAAAGATGATAGTGATAAAACAATGAACAATCAAAAAATTGAAATCACACCGTCTTGATATATAGAATAACACTATTATAAGAAAAAATGAAATTTAAAAGACAAGATAGTAAATATGTATAATAAATAGCTTGAATATCAAAAATAATCCAAAATAAAATAAATAATTGAAAATTATTTTAATAATCAAAATAAGTGATGAAATTATACACATAAATAAAAATCATAAAAAGAAAAAGGAGGAAAATAATTTACATCAATAAAATAATGTTAATTATTTTGTACCATTAAATTAGACCATTTTTATTGAACTTTTCTATTTTCTATAATAAAAATATTCCATTTATTTCATCTTTCTTTTCATATTTTATTATCTCTTTTTGATTACTACTTCTTATCTTCTTCCATTTTATATTCTCATTTTTCTTCTTTTATTCTTTTCATTTTCTTCTATTTCTTAATTTCTAATTACACTCTTTTATACCATTCTTTCTCTTCTTTTTTATCTTTTTTGCCATTCATCATTTATTCTGGTATAACTCATTTTCATATGTTATTATTTTACATTTGTCATTACTTATTTTCTTTTAATTATTTTAAATTATTAATATTATATTGTTTGAATTTATTGTATATTGAATTTATAAGTATTTAAAATCTCATTATAAAGTAAATGGTTTATGATTATATTATTTGTTGATTATGTGTAATTCATTTTTGAATTATTATTATTAAATGATTTGAAAAATAAAAAATAGATAAATGGATATAATATGAGAGAATGTGTTTTATTGAAATATCATATTTCATTATTTCATTATTAGAATTATATATTATTAATTGTTCTATTCATTTATCATTATTTATATTATATTTTCTTATTTATTATTTTAATTAACATTTTTATTATCAAAAATATTTTATATTTATTTATTTATTATTATGAATTTTTTTATTCAACACAGATAATATTTCTATTAATATTTAATTAAATATTTTTTATTTTATGTTATTTTTTATTCTTTTATTATATTTTAATAATATTATATAAATTCTTTTTTTGAAATAAATGATTAAAAAAAAGAAAGAATTTATTTAATATCAATAATAAATATTAATTAATTGAAAAAGAGGAATGAAATAATTAGAATAAAAGAAGATAAAAAAGAATAAAATAAATAAAAGAATATAAAATAATTTTTATTTCTTTATTTCTATTTTTTATTTTAATTCTTTTTTATTGTTATTAGTTTTCTTCTATTTCCATAAATCCTTCTCCTAACTCAACTTCTTTTTTATTTATTTCATTGATTTTATTCATTTCATCTATCAGCATTTCAATACATTTTTCAATATCTATTTTTTCTCCTTCTTTTATACATTCTTCAATATTTCTAAACATATATTTTTTTATTTGCTGTTTTTTTACTTTTTATTAATTGAAATTGATATCCTTTTTTTTCTAATATTTCTTTCATTATTTCCATTTTCCCATTTTGTATCGTTATTTCATAAAATCTTCCTTTAATTCCTTTTGTTATATACTTTTTCGCTTCTTCTTCAATATTTCTTTTTTCATATATCACTTTTTCTAAATAAACTTTTGGATATCGGTATTCCTTTTTACTTATTCTTTTGGATTTTCTTATTGAACATTTGTATCCATTCATTCTCCACAATGATACCATAAATAATATCGTTCTATTCATCCTTTCATTAGTTTCTTCTCTGTGTTGTTGATTTCTTTTTCTTTTTATTTCTTCATTCATTCTTTTATTCGCGACACTTTTTATCTTTTCTTAGTTCTTTTTTTCTTTCTTTCTTTTATTTTGCTTCATTCTTGCTTTTTCTTCTTCTTTTTCTTTCTTCTCTTCTCATTTCTTTTTATTTTTATTTCTTTTGTTATTATTCACTTCTTTGTTATCTTGTGTTTTTCACATCTTTGAAATTCCTTCAAGCAAAATGATTGAGTTGGTGTTTAGTCAAAATCCATTTGAAATAATTACAGATACAGAAAAAGAAGATATAGGTAATTTTGATATTCCAACACAATGCTGTAGAACAATAACAAAGAGGTTGAGAATGGAAAAGTTTTTAAAATGATTTGGAATGAGGTTGATATTGTAATGGATGAAATTATACTTGATAAATACGAAGAGGAATTTATTAATCCTCCATTTCAACAAAAAGTAGAAGTACAAGAATATTGTCACTTTGATGGATTAAAAATAGGTGTTAGTCCATATCATTATCAATTAGTTAATGAAGAAAAATCTTTTATTAATGAGAAAATAAATTATATAAAAGACAACCAGCTTTTTGAAATAGAGGAAGTTTTATTTGATCCAATACTAGAAAATGAAATTGTAAAAGAAATACAAATCGAAACAAAAATGATAATTGAAAATGAAGAAGGTTGGGAAAGAATAAAGAAAGATGGAAAGAAGTGGATGGAAAAATGGAAAGAGAAGAAAGACATAATTTGGAAAATGAAAAATAATAATAATTACAACTACCAAA